CTGAAGGAGCTGAGTAGGGCAGGGTTCCTCTGTGAGGTGGAAGCTCTGAAGCTTGGAAGCTGCAGCTCCAAGGAGGAGCTTCATTCTTAAAGGCGGGGCTAGGCCCACCCACGCGTTTTGTGCAGCTGACTGGTTGCCATGGGAGATTATAGTATTTCTCAAACATGCATGAAAGAATCAAATCAACACTCCAGGTATGTTTTTGATGAGAGAATAACATTACAACATGATGTGAATGTCAAAGAAGTCAATTTTTTCTTACTGCCTCTTTAAAAAGTAAAGAAGAAAGTAAAAGAAAGCATTTTCTTCTCAGAGAAACTTCATCTTTGCAAACACCGCCCACAGTTGCCTCTGCGGTCTGACTCCTCTCTCGCTGCCGGAGCTCTCCTTAGTAACCATGGCATCAGAGCTGTTGTCCTTTCCACCTCAGCTTTGGGTTAGAAGTGTTTACAGTGCAGCGTTTTCCACAGGAGTGACCATGAAGCCAGAGGATATAATGCAAATGAATCGTCTCTGGTGGCCGTCTCTTAAAAAAACGACTCCATCAGTAAGAGTGGGCATCATGCTGGATGAGTCAGTCTGCACGTCAGGGAATACCTCACCGCTCTCCAACTTTGCACAGCCTGACTAATTTCATTTACACTCCATGCTGAGCTTTCAGCACTTAGATTGAAAATGTGTCTCTCTCATCTCTGACTTTATTGCACCTGAAATAGATTTTTTTTGTTGTTTCCTGATGATTATCTCCTCTTCTTTAAATCACCCCAGGTTTTTTTTCTTCCTCCTTCCCACATTGTCTCCTTGCTTCGTTCCTGTGTCTCGATTTTTGTCTCTTTTTTGTGTTTAGAGGCTTGAGGACCAATGGGAGTGGTCATTTATGTGGTCGAGGCTTAGTAACGTCGCCGACTTATACAAACAAGAGCTTATTTTATCTGTCAGGAGTCGCCTATAGAAACTCTGAGTCACAAACATGCTGACCTGAGGAGATTCAGAAGGCTGTAATTAAGCACAGGCACAGCTTGTTTCTTGTAGATTTAGCCCAGGCCTTCTACACATTAACAAGTGCAAATATTTTAAGGAAGCTTCTTAAAGTCTCTCACTGGAGCCCAGTTTTCAATTCGTATCTGATCAAAGTCTACTGAGGATTGAAAGAAACTCAATATTTTCTTTAAGCATGATGCCAAAGGATGGATTTGTAAGCTAGCAAAGGTGTAAACCTGAGACAAAGTGAGGGTGGGACTTAGAAAGATACTAAAATCATCTGAACTGCTGAACTCGGCTCTTGTCCAAATGATGCTTAAATACGAAAATATGTTACTTTGCAAAAACACAAAATCTTACCAAATATTTTGGGTTTAGTTTCTTATGAAAATATCTTCAGACACTTGAAATAGGACAAAATTAGCTTACAAGTTACTTTTTAGCTGCATGCAGAAGCTTGTTTTGTTTAATTCCTTAATATTAATTAAAAAATAAATAAATAAAGAAGCAACAATACTTGGAAATATTTTGTGTTTTTCCAGTATATATCAGGTTTTGATATTGACATTTACATGCAGATGATCCTCTGTTTTTTTTTGTTTGTATTTTTTTTTTTGCACCAATGGTGTGGAAATGTTATCTTGTCATTTTTTAATTAACTGAAAAGCTTATTTTGTTATTTCACAGTTCAGTACTTTTCATTTATTACAGATTATTTTATTTTCAGCTACATTGCATCTGTTTTTTTTGTCCATACTTATGGTTTCTTATTCCATAAGAATCACTTTTTTTCCATCCCAGTCATTTATCATTTCATTTGTTTCTCTCCTCCTCCTCTCTCCAGCCGTTGACCAACAACAATCCGTGGATGCTGCTGTACTTCATCTCGTTCCTCCTGATCGTCAGCTTCTTCGTCCTCAACATGTTCGTGGGCGTGGTGGTGGAGAACTTCCACAAGTGTCGGCAGCACCAGGAAGTGGAGGAGGCGAGGCGCAGGGAGGAAAAGCGCCAGCGTCGCATGGAAAAGAAGAGGAGAAGTAAGAAAGAGAAAGTTGTGGATTGACAAGTACAGGTAGTAAATTAGGTGAGATTTTAAGAAGTGGTGAGTTTATGAATCGGGGAAGGTGAAGATCTGAGCGGGGAGAAGTAGAAGTAGGAGTATAGTTTCTGAACTAGAAACTATAATCTTCCAAGGTAACAAAATTAAAATTGCATGAAGTGGAGCACAGACAAAGCTAAAACCAGAAAAACATCAGTTTTAAGAATTGATAAAGTAGAGGACTGATGTCTACTCTTAAATCTTGGCGTGTTTGAGAACAAAATGTAGTCTAAGAAGAAAGTTCTGTAACATACATTTATATTGGGCTGGAAATGTTAAAATAAGCTCCTACTTTTAAAGAACATAGCTAACACATGCTAAAGTCTTCCTGTAAAGTTATTGAGAATGAGTCTTTATTTGAACTACTTAACCTTTGGCTCTCAATTATGAAATTTCTGGGTGAGAGGCGGGGTCACCCTGGACAGGTCGCCAGTCTGTCACAGGGCAACACAGAGACACACAGGACAAACTACCATGCACACACACACTCACACCTAGGGACAATTTGGAGAGGCCAATTAACCTGACATGTTTTTGGACTGTGGGAGGAAACCAGAGTACCCAGAGAAAACCCACACATGCACAGGGAGAACATGCAAACTCCATGCAGAAAGACCGGGGCCAGGAATCAAACCCAGAACCTTCTTGCTGCAAGGCAACAGCTCTACCAACTGCGCCACTGTGCAGCCGCCTTGTGTAGTTTTCTACACTAGTTCTCTTTTTTTGTTTTCTCTTTGTTATTTAGAATAGAATAGAATATACTTCATTGGTCCCTAAGGGGAGAGAGGAGAGTTACTTTGTTGAAAGTAACTCCATAGGTAATAAATACAAAGTTTGTAATATATATATATATATATATATATATATATATATATATATATATATATATATATATATATATATATATATATATATATATATATACATACACATAT